TATATACAGTGTTCTGTCTGTCTGTATGCCTGCAGTCCAGAAGAGGGTGCCAGATTTCATTATAGATGATTATGAGCCACCATGTGGGTGCTTGGAATTGAACTCAGGACCTCTAGAAGAGCAGCCAGTGCTCTAAACCGCTGAGCCATCTCTCCAGCCCTGGTGTCTCTTTCTCAATGGTAAAAATGTTTATGAAGAAAAGAACCTGGGGCAAGGGGCAGGACATTGTATGTTCAGCGAGACCCTTGAGCTGGGTTATAAGCTGAAAAAGGGCTGTGAGGGGGATACTAGATTCATCTGGAAAGATTTGTACATCTTTCCACGCACAGATGTCTGGGTGACGAAGCTACACTTGGTCTGGCAGCTCCTCTGAGTGCCTCAGCTTTGGGCAGTAGGAAGAATGGCTTTTGCTTTGTCAACTAAGAGTGATCTAGGTTTATTTGCTCTTGAAACCCAGCAGCACTCTGCTGAGTCTACGGTATTGCCCTTTCTCTTCCAAAGTGTCTATTGTTGGAGGTTTGTTCCTGCGATTAGTAGATAGACTTAATCCCTGATCTGATAACTCAGCCGGCTTCCGCCTCTGCATCCCTGACACAGTTCCAACAGAAACTGCCCACGTACACATGCATGTATGGGTGCCTGTTTCCAGGCATCTCTGGGTGCTTTCGGTAGCAATGCTTCAGTGCGGTCATCAGGGTGGGAGAAGGGACCATTGGCTGGAGGGGCAGGAGCATCTGTCTTCTAGGTAACTAACTGTTCTTTCCAGGGTCACTGGAATGCATTCATGGGGAATGTCTCTAAGGCTGTCTTTGGCTTCTGAATTCCTTGTCTAGACAGCCTCACACTCCTCACCCAGGTCCCCACTGTCAAAGAGATCACTCACCCCTGCTTGTCCTGTTGCTTCTACTCAGACCCTAGTCTGCAGTTCTGGAAGCAAAAAAATCCACCTTAGTGTCCCCCTTTGCCTGTAGTTCCCATGAGCCTCTATCTAAATCTGACATCTGTCTAGATTGGTGACATGACTCTCATCTCTTTTTCCTGCAGGCTGTGCAGCCTGTGTCTGGGACGGGAGAAGGCCAGCTGGGTTAGAGTTGGCAGACAGCCTCTTTGGCTTGTAAGCTTACTTGTCGCCAGGATGCAGGAGTCGCCCAAGAGTCTCAGTGGCAAAGAGACAGCCAAGGAAATGCTGGAACTTTAGTTTGTCTAGAGGGATTCTTTTGGCTGCTTTCTGAAAACCTCTGTCCCTGGTGTTCTGTCTTATTGAGATTCTGGGGATATATGGGGCACTCATTCATCACAGGCAAGAGTATCTCTGGAGAGCCTGCCTGGGACTTAGTGACTAGCTTACTTAGAACCCTCTGACTGGCAGACTCAGGCGACCTTCTGAACCTGGCATCCATCAGATCCCTGGCAACAGGATGGAGGGGGGTGGTCAGGGAGGATGTGAGAGGCACAGGCATGGTGCCCAGCCAGGGTCCTAGCATTCTGTGTCCCTGACCTACTTTTACTTGATAAATTCTTACTGTTTAATTCTTTTTTTCTTCAAGAAAGTCTGTGGAGTTTCTCTCTTGGTTTCTGGGGCTCCCCTCTGTCTGCTTCCCACCTGTTTGTTCAAATTGCATACTGAATTAGAAAACCATCTTCCCCTAATTCTACCCTTCCTGGTATTAGGGTCGCATCCTTGTATCCCCAAGAAATGCTCTTATGTTATTCTGTTAGGAACTGGAATCACCGTCTGGGGCTCAATACCTCCATATCTGATTGTGCCTTCTGTTTGGAACTGCCATTGTCAAATATTGCCTGAAAAGTGAAACTAAACTACAAGGTCAAGGGGTGTGGTCATTGGGGGGGTGGGGTGAAGTGTGCAGTCCCATTGGGTCATCAGATGGTAAAGACTTTGGGATGTGGAATGACTTCATAACTTGAGAGTTATTCTTTTTTTGTTTCTTTAAGAATAGTTTCACATTGTTGCCCAGGCTGGCCTGGAACTAACTTTGTGTAGCCCAAGCTGACTTTGAACTCAGCTATGTTCAAGATCACCTTGAACACTCAATCCTCTTGCCTCTGTCTCCCAAGGACTGGAATTATTGACACGTGCCACCATACCCAACTTTGGTCCCATTCTTCAAAAAATCTGTCTTTAGGCAGAGGACTCTGGCATTAACTTTTGCCCTTTGATTGATGACTCTTCGCTTGGTCTTTGCAGCCTGTGGGCCGAAGTTGACCAACTCCCCAACGGTGATTGTGATGGTGGGCCTCCCAGCCCGGGGTAAGACTTACATCTCCAAGAAGCTGACTCGCTACCTCAACTGGATAGGTGTTCCCACGAAAGGTAAGCCAGGATGCGAGGCCAACAGCTGGTACTCTCAGGGTGGCCGCTCACAGGCATAACTGTCCTAGGTCATGGAGTCTGATCCTGTTTCCCAGTCCTGTTAGCTCAGTTCACCTTCACCTTCTTCAAGCTCCCTGTGGTGACCTCATATTCTGTGGATCGTTTTTCTTCACGTGTCACTGTAGCCTTCTTTTGGTGGCCATCCTCCCCAGCTTCACGCTGAATGCTATTGATGACATTTGTGTACACCCCTGCCCTGTCTTCCCAACTGACTGGGAAGTGTCCTGAGGAGAGGGATTAGCATCCCTCGCTGTGCTGAGATTTTTCTCTTTTTAATACTGGTGCTTGACTCTAGGTCTACATAGGTTAAGCAGTAACCATTAAATATGATCTCATCATCAAAGGTGTGCCAGCAGGAACATGGCTAATTTAGACATGGCAGGGGTAATTTAGAGTTAGTAGCTCAGCAAGTAGGCAAGGCTGGTTGTTCAGTGAGACCCACTTATGTTTGGATACCTTATTTGTCTTAACATTTATTTATTTCATTATTTTATATGTATGGGTGCTTTGGATTGTGCACGTGGAAACACACGCACGCGCGCGCACACACACGCACAGTACATGTGTGCCTCATGCCCCAGACAGTCAGAAGAAGGAGTCAGATCCCTTGGCACTGCAGCTATAGATGACTGTGAACCTCCATGTGGGTGCTGGGAATTGAACCCTCATCCTTTGTAGAGCAGCATGTGCTCTTAACTGCTGAGCTAACGCTCCAGCCTGTCTTGTCTTATCTGAGTATCTGTCAGTCTGTCTTTCTGCCTGCCTGTCTATGACAGTGTTTCACTGCTCAGTGGTCTCCAATGAGCTCTTCTATATCAGAAGCCACTGAACTTCTGATTCCCCCCCCCCCCCCCCCCCCCCCCGACCCCCCTCCCCCCCCCCCCCCCCCCCCCCCCCCCCGTCTACATCTCTGTGCTGGGATTACAGTCATGTATTACCATGACCAATGATTTTGGTTGGTGCTGGGATCCAGCCCAGAGTTTCATCCATGCTAGACAGGACTCTAACAGATGAGTGACTGACTTTCTGATTCCTACAGTACTTTTTTTTTTTTTTTTTTTCTGGATTCTGACTGTTCTGGGAGTCTGTTTCTGGTTGACAACACTGGGAGGTGGGATTGGGATCTGGTCCCTAGGAGAAACTTCTGGTACAGCAAGAGTCATGGGTGCTATCCTTTGGTCTGGACCTTGTTTCCCAGAGTGTGACCTGGGGATGACAGGCCTGGACTGGGACGTCCACACTGTTTGCATATGAGATTACTTATCCAGATAGGTATTGACTGAGAAGCCGTTTGTTCCTGATGGCTTATCCAGGACTGTCCTTGTCTTTCCTGTCCAGTGTTCAATGTGGGAGAGTATCGACGTGAGGCTGTGAAGCAGTTCAGCTCTTACAACTTCTTCCGACCTGACAACGAGGAAGCCATGAGAGTCCGAAAGTAAGCCTGAGCTGCCGTGGGTTTTCCGTGTACCATGTGTGAGTGTGTGTGTGTGTGTACGCTTGTGTGGAGGCCTGAGAAGGAGGCCTTGCATGTTCTTTGGGCACTGTCCACTTTATAATAAAATAATACGTGTAGGTGAGTGTGAGTGTGTATGTGTGTCCACGTGTGTGGAAGCTCGAGGACGTCAGATAAATTCCTCTATTACTTCTCTGTTTTCTGAGACAGGGTCTCTTTAAACAACTGTTTTATGTGTGTGGGTTTTCGCCAGCATGTATGTTGTTAGTGCCTGGTGCCTGGGGAGGCTAGAAGAGGGCTTCAGATCCCCTGGTGCTGGAGTTGCAGGAGGTTGTAGTGTTCCAGGTGGGTGCTGAGAATCAGACCCGGGTCCTGGAAGAGCAACAAGTGCTCTTAACTGCAGTCATCTCTCCAGCCCTTAGACAGGGGCTGTTGATGAGCCTGGCACTAGCCTGGCTGGCCAGTGAGCTCTGGGGACCAGTTCTAGGGTTACAGAAAGTGGCGTGACGTGTGGTATTTCGATGAGTGCTGGAGATGCAAACTCCTGTCCTTGTGCACGTGTGACTGGCAGTGCTTTACCAAAACTGAAACAGCTCTGCAGACCTCTCTGGAGAGGTAGGGTCTGTCACTGTGGAGCTTAACAAGTAGTCTAGGCTGGCTTGCTGCCCGTGAACCCTAGGGTTCTCCACCTCCCTGGTACACCCCCAATCCAGCATCCGCTGCTTCCTTCTCTCCCTCCTCTTTCTCCATGTAGGTTCTGAGAATCCAACTCAGGTTGTACTATGATCTGAGCTCTCTTCCCACCCAGTGGCTTCCTTTGTTGTAAAGCCAGGTTCTGTAAGAGGAAGAAAAGGCCAGTCTGCACGCTGGCTCTTTGCTGGTGGCCATTAGACCGAGCTAGTAGTAGGACAAGTCTCTTGGCCTCTCTTTGACTGGCTGCTTTGAACTGCTCCCAGGAGTAGGAACTGAGCCTCCCTGAGGCGGTTCAGCAGCAGCCAAGCACCAGGAGTGAACAAAGCCCCTTTCTTTGGAAACCATCAGTTTGCATTTGCAAAAGATTTCTTAAGCTGCAGGTGACAGGGTGGTGCTTTTCAGTTCTGCAGGTGCTGGAATCAGCTGGGTATGGGAAGAGGTCCCAGTCTCTGGTGCCAGGCCCAGCCCTAGGCATGCCCAGTGAGGCTCTCTGTGCGTGCTCTGGCATCCGTCTTTATTTTACTAGTACTGTTATTATTTTTGTTTTAAGTTAGGGTCTTGTTATAGAATCCTGGATGGCTTGGCACTACCTTTTATAGTTTGGATTGGCCTTACATGCGGATCTGTCTTCCTGCCTCAGCCTCTGCAGTACAGCTATTATAAGAGTATTTAGCACCCTGTCTGCCTAGTACTGATTTTTATTTTTATTACTAATTTTTGAGATAGGGCCTTATGTAGCCGAGGCTGGCCTCGAGCTTTCTGTGTAGCTGAGGATGAACTTCTGGTCATCTGGCTTCCGCTCCCCTGTATGAGGATTATAGACTGTGTCACAAAACCTGATTTTATACAGTGCTAAGGACTGAATCTGTGGCTTTATGCATGTTTGGCAAGCACTCTCTCAAGTGAGCTAGATCTCTTGCCCTTGGTAATAGTTCTTTAAAGCTCCCTAGGTTTAATTTTTAAGTTGAGCATGGTGCACTGTTTCTATAATCCCAGCATTTTGGAGGTTAAGGCAGGAAGTCAGCAAGTTCTAGGCCAGCCTCAACTACCGAGTAGGTTCAAAGTCAGACTGGATAACTTAGTGAGATCCTATCTCAAATTAAAATGTAAAGGGGGCTGGAGTTGTTCGTCGTAGAACACTTGCTAGCGTGTTCAAAGGCCTTGATTTCAGTTCCCAGGACCACAAAAGAAAAACAAAGAGCAAAAAGTTAAACCATTAAAAAAAGAAAGCCATGCATGGTATCTGGTGCCTGGAATCTCCACACTGGAGGGGCTAAGGTGAGAGGATTGCTGGGAGTTTGAGGCCATCTTGGCTAAGGAGTTGAATGCCAGCCTGGGCAGCGTAGCTGGAGCCGGTCTTGTCTGAAAACAAAACAAAACAAAACAATCCACAAATACGAATGTTTCTCAGGGAAATTGATCCCACCGTGTAGCCAGGCATGACGACTGCCTCCCTCAACTGTGTGGAGGTGAGTGTTTGTGCTGGTCCCCAGGTCAAGGGCTCCAGACCTAAAGATGCCTGGTTAGCACTGAGCAGCTTGGAACAGGAACATCAGTGTGTATCAACAAGGGATGTGACTGCGTGGCTGGACCTGCTCTGACCATTGCTTTCCCTCCCTCCTGTGTGTTTGCAGACAGTGTGCCTTAGCTGCCCTGAGAGACGTCAAAAGTTACCTGACGAAGGAAGGAGGCCAGATTGCAGTAAGTCTGGGGGGCCCAGGCACCTCTGTCCTCGTGGGCCCCAGCAGTATGGAGAGCTACTGTAGAGTGGCTGTAAGGGCTGAGGGAACAAGTGGCCCGAAGTAGCTCAAGAGTCTATCTTGTGATGGATGCTGGGATGTAGCTTTGTCACTCACCTGTGCAGTGGGCATCTGGGTACCACCTCTACTGTGTTGCTTCCAGCCACAGCAGTGAGGGGCCATTGCTTGGTCCCTCATTGTATGTAACTGCTTGCTAGTTCCCCAGTTTCCCTGCTTTGCTGGAGAGCTGAGGGCAAAGAATGAGGAGGGAGCATTATGGAGGGTTAGGGGATAGGACACCCTGTCTAGAAGGAGGAATTTGGGGCTTATTTCTGGAAACAACAGATTGAATTCCTTGTGGTTTAGGTAAGTATCATTTTCAGTTTTTCTGAGCCGCCTTCTTCTCTATCAGGTTTTTGATGCTACGAACACTACTAGAGAGAGGAGACACATGATCCTTCATTTTGCCAAAGAAAATGACTTCAAGGTGAGCCAAACTTGCCTCCCCCAGCAAATGCCGAGTGGAAACCACCTTGGGAGCTGCTGATTGCCTGACTCTGGCTTCAGCCTCTTTCTGTCTCAAGCTGTTGTTGAGGCAGGGTCTCACTCTGTGGCCCAGGTTTGTTGAAAGGCACTCCGTAGCCCAGGCTGCCTTCAGACTCATAGCAATCCTCCTGCCTCCATCTGCTAAGTATCGGGAGTGCAGGTGTGAGCTTCCACTCATCGTCCACATTTTACTGCCTTAAACAAGGTCGTCCTTGTGGCAGGATTCCTAGGGACAGTGAAGCCCGCCCTCCCTCCCCAGCGGAGGGTGAAGGCCGTGGCCATGCAGAGTTGACGTTTTATGGAGTAATACTTTCCCAGTTCTTCTCTTCCTCCTTATGAATATTTTGGTTAACAAACAGGGACAAGAGCTTCTGGTTCTAAAGCACAAAATCATGGGTTTTGCTGAGACGTTTTCATACATGGGCATCATTATACTTTGTTCCTATTTGCCCCCCCCTCCCCCCCCCCCCCCCCCTTTTACTTATTTACTGGTCCTCTTTTGCTTCCCAAATAGCCCCTTGGATTCTGCTTTCAGGGTACATGTATTCCATGCCTGTTGTTCCTCACCCCTTCCTTTAGTCTTCTGTTATGATACCTCCCCCCTCCCCCCCCACACATTTAAATCTAGGTTTTGCATGTAGATGGCAGCATGAGTCTGAGTCTGGCTTACTTTGCATCTCCCCAGTCCCATCCTGTTCCTGTTGTTTTCCTGTCTTGTGTCACAGTGACATCCAGGTTGGCCTTTCGTGGGTTGTTTTTACATGTCTGCCTTGCTTCCTTCCTCCAGGTATTTTTCATTGAGTCCATATGTGACGACCCTACTGTTGTGGCCTCCAACATCATGGTAAGATGATTAGGAAGCCCTGTTTGTATATTGCCATTATACTGGGAGGCCATTTGCAGTCTTGGTCAGGGACTGGACAGTAACTAAACCCGGAGAAGCAGACCACCCTGCTCCGTGTGTGGTTGAGTGTCTTCAGGTGGATACTGGGATGGCAGAAGTCCATGGGGGTTTTAACTTAGCACGGCACAGGCTGTGACCTGGACATGCTCTTAAGGGTCATCCATTCCTAAGGACTTTGAGGACATACAGCAGGTGTATGTCTTGGCTGAGACATGGTAGATAAAGGAGATAGGCAGGAAGTAGTTTCACCTGGTGGCAGAAACCGAGTGATGGTGGAGTAGCCAGGGATGATGGGCATCTCATCCCATCGTACAGTGGATGCTATCCAGATGTTCACTTTTGCTTTCCAGGTCCCTGGTAGGGAATGATGCTTTTATGTGGGCCAAAGCCTCCGAGGCTCAGTATGCCAAAGACAAAGTTCCTGAATTTGGGCAGAAACGGTGTAGTGATGTACCCCTCCCTCTCAACTCTACTGTGCCAAGGATAGCTTGTCCAATAAGTCAAGGTCAATGGCACCATTATTGATTAATCCTTAGTATTACTTGATAGCAATAGATCACAAAGAGAAATGAGTATTATAAAGATGTTTTCACAGGTTAATTTTGTGTGTGCATGTGTGTGCGTGCACATGTGTGTATGTGTATGCATGGTGGGCACACATGTCACAGTAAGAGTGTAGCAATCTGAGCCGCTTCACGAACTCACAACTTCTTATGTTTTTAGATCATTTTATTTTCAACTTTGTTGTTGTTGCTGTGTGTTTGAGGCAGGATTCTCACACTGTAGTCCAGGCTGTCCTGGACACTGTGTATCCCAGGCTGATCTTGGAATTCGAGGCTCCTGCACTGATCCTCCAGTGCTGGGATTATGGGTGTGAGCATTACTTCTGGTTTCCAGGTTAATCATATTGGAATAGGACATATTTAATAAGGAAGACAAGTTTTTCATAGGTAGGGGAGGCAGGTGGTGTGACTGCATATACATTTGCTTATTTATTTATTTACTTATTTATTTATTTATTTATTTATTTTTTATTATTTGGGGATGAAATCTCACTGTGTAACCCAGGATGGTCTTGAACTCAGGGCAGCCTGCTTCCTCTTTCCTGAGTTCTGGAATTACAGGTGTGTACCACTACACCTTGCCCAAAATACGCCTTACCTTTAAAGGGATGCTAAGTATCTATAGCATCTTTCATTGGTCTTTTTCTTCAAGATGGTGGGAGTGTCTGCAAGCATTTCTAAGGAACAAGCTCACACTTCAGGAGGAGCGGGTCTGGAGGCTCAAAGCTTGAGGAAGGGCTGTGCTCACAGAGGGGGGGCTTCGCTGTTTTTCTTTGGTTTTGTTTTCCCCACTCTACTTGATAGTGAAGCTGGTGCAGCTGTGAAATCATTTTCCCCACGGTGTCATCATTCCTGTACTTAGGAGCTGTCTTAATAGTAGCTTTCGATCCATTCACATAGCTGTTGACCCTGATCCTCTGTGTTCAGAAAATCTTTCTCTGATTAAACCAAAAGTTTTGCAGATTAGGTTCAGGGCTTTGCAACCTATATTTATGTTTTTATTGTACAATTCACATAATATACAACTGACCTTTATAGCTATTTTTAGTGTGCCATTTGGCAGCATCAAATACATTCAGGTTTTAGGCAACTGTGTTTGTGATGTTGGGCTGTTGGTAGGGTGCTTGTCTACCACATACGAAGCCATAGGGTCAGACACCTGCACTACATAAATTGGATATGGGGGTAAATACTTGGAATCTCAGCATTCAGGAGGTGGAGGCAGGAGGATCAGAAGTTCAAGATCATCCTTGGCTGCATAGTGCGTTAAAGGGAAACCTGGGGAACAAAGGAGCCTGTCTCAAAGCAAGCAGACAAAATAAAACCAGAAGCAAAAACGCTGGGAATCTCCAGGCCTTTCCATCCTCCTATCTGCCTTCTAGTTGTGGAATCACAAGATTAAAAGCAATTCTGAGGGCAGGCATGATGGTGCCTGCTTAAATAATTCCAGCACTTACTGGACAGAAAGAGGTAGTGGGTTTTAGGAAGGTTTGAAGCCATCTGGCTTTTCATAACAGGTTCTATCCCAGTCAGGGCTAGATAGTAAGACCCTGCCTCAAAAGATGAAAATCCATCAGAGTTTCCTTCCCATCTACCTGGGTTTCTCGGCATAATTGTCCAATTATAGGAGACTCCTTGTCCAAGAAGGGCAGCTCCAAAAAGGTAGAGGTACCAGGTCTAGTTAGGTGTCATCACAGAGACCAGCCCAGGAGGATGCTGCTTCTGTTGGGACGGTTGGAGAGACCCTGCCAAGAGCAACACTTACTATGCCTTTTCTAACCAAAGGCCTGCTCTTGGTGTGCCTCTGTGGGGTTCTGCTGAATTGAGGGCCAGGTTGACTCAGCTATTGGACTGACCTGCCTCAGTGTATGGTCCAAATGTGTCCCTTATGGGGTCTCTGTGGCTATCCCGTGTCTGTCCTTCACGGGCATCCTTCTTATGTAACTACAAGGCCATGAGTCAAACCTCCTGACCCACACTCTTTTTTTCCCTCTGAGACGCTGGGTAGGATACTCTTTATTCTGAGAATTTCTGGGCTTTTCCCGTTTGAAAGTCCACATCTGACTTAACTAAGCAGAAAGCCTTCCAGTATGATTCATCAGCTGCTCTTTGTGATGTTGCAGGAAGTTAAAATCTCCAGCCCGGATTACAAAGACTGCAACTCGGCAGAAGCCATGGACGACTTCATGAAGAGAATCAATTGCTATGAAGCCAGTTACCAGCCTCTTGACCCTGATAAATATGACAGGTGATTTTTTTTCCAGAGGCTGCCACCCTCAATTGTCCACAGGGGGCTTGAATGTCTTCTTGAGGTTCCCATAGAACAGCTCCCAAATGTGTTTGTAAATTCTGAAAATGGCTTTTGGAGGGTCCCTGAGACCCCGCCTTTTGGTGATTGGAGCTATTGGCAGTTGGCGGCTGAAGGAGGGAGGGTCCTTCTTCTTTGGGGGCATGACTGCTGCTAAGTTGTCCATGACCCAGTGGATGGTGCATACAGGTCTGCACTGATAATAAAACACGTGAGATGGGGACATTTAGAGGGAGATAGTGGTGGATGGGCAGGTTCAGAATAAGGGATAGCTCAGCAGTACTGCTTCTCCCCATGGCTGGAGTTCTGTTCCCAGCAGCCACATCAGGCAGCTCACAACCAATTGTAATTCCAGCTGCAGGGGGTCAGATGCCTCTGGCCTCCAGGTTCCTGCACTTATGCATGCACATATACATACATATATATAATTAAAAATAATAAAACAAGAAGTCTTTAAAAGTATAACTGTATAGGCCAGGTGGTGGTGGCGCACACCTTTTATCCTAGCACTTGGAGGCAGAGGCAGGCAGATCTCTGTGAGTTCGAGGCTAGCCTGGTCTACAAAATGAGTTCCAGGACAGCCAGGGCTACACAGGGAAACCCGGTCTCAACCCCATTTTCCTCCAAAATAGTATTAATGTATGAAAGTGTCTTTTTCGACTGTTTTACCTTAAAAAGATATATACTAGGTGTTTGTTTGTTTTGATTGGATCTCACCATAGCCCAGACTGGGCTGGAACTGGTTATGTAGAGTCACAGGTCTGCCTGCCTCTGTCTGTCCAGCGTTGGTATTAAAGCTGTGTCACCATGGCCAGCTAGGTTTGCTTTTCCTTTTTTTAAACATCTATACATTTATTTATTTTTTTATTTGCTCGTGTTTGTGCTTTGTGCCTGTGTGTGTGCGTACACACATGAAGGCCAGGGGACAACCTTTGAGAGGCCTTTTCCTCTCCTTCTACCTTGTGAGCCTAGGGAATCAAACCCATGCCATCAGACTTGATGGCAAAGCGACTTCACGCGGAACCATGTCACTAGTCTCTCTGCCTTACTTTTTGAACAGTCTCTCACTGAACCTGGAGCTCACTGGTTTGGCTAGGCTGACTGGCCAAAAAAAGTGCGTTTCAGGCAACAATCTGTCTCTTTCTCCCCGGCTATGGGATTACAGACCCAGAGCTTTTTAAGAAGGTGCACCTGAACTTGATGTATAAGACTTAAGCTTGTGCACCACTAAGGGAGCTGTCTGTCCAGTTGTACTACCTGGCTTGAACAGCCTGACCACGGAAACTGTTGCCTTCATTTCCTCTCTGACTCCTAGAGAAGACAACAGTCCCTGCTGTAGGCCCCCAGGAAGCAAATACTCTAGAAGCTGGCTCGGCCTAGGGTGAGGAGTGCTGTCCTGTGGGCGAGGGCGGCCTCAATGCGGTCCTCAATGATGTTCCTTGGCAGGGACTTGTCGCTCATCAAAGTGATTGACGTTGGCCGGAGGTTCTTGGTGAACAGGGTGCAGGACCACATCCAGAGCCGGATCGTGTACTACCTGATGAACATCCACGTGCAGCCCCGCACCATCTACCTGTGTCGGCACGGAGAGAATGAGCACAACCTGCAGGGCAAGATCGGGGGCGACTCGGGCCTGTCCAGCAGGGGCAAGAAGGTAGCGGGGAGAGAGACACACATGGGCTACCAACGGAGTGGAGTCAGGAGGATGATTGGGTGATTGGCCCCCACCAGTAGAGTAGAGGTTCCTTGGGAGGGTAGGATGTTGCGGTTCGTTTATTTATTTACTTATTTACTTATTTATTTATTTATTTATTTGCTGGTTTTTGTTTATGTGTGATNTTTTTTTTTTTTTTTTTTTTTGTTGTTTTTTTTTTTTTTTTTTTTTTTTTTTTGCCTTACTATATTGGGTGCATTTGCGTGTGTCTGTATGTGTACGTGTGAGTGTGGACTAGGAAGGGGAAATAGAGTCAGGCTTCTTGGACTCTGATAAGGTTTAAGTGGCACCGGAGGTTTGGGTGGCCTTGGTGGCTCCCAGGTGACCACGTAACATAACCTATGGAAGGACCTGGCGTTGGGGTGACCCCTGTCTCCTCATTTCCTCAGTTCGCAAATGCCCTGAGCAAGTTCGTGGAGGAACAGAACCTGAAGGACCTCCGCGTGTGGACAAGCCAGCTGAAAAGCACCATCCAGACTGCAGAGGCCCTACGGCTTCCCTATGAGCAGTGGAAGGCGCTCAACGAAATTGACGCTGTGAGTCCGGGCCGGTGTGGCTGTGGGGAGGCCTGGCAAAGAGTGGAAAGTTCTCTCCAGGGCGCTATGGAATGCTGGGGGCTTCCCGAGACCCCCTTTATTTGAGGCGGCGGTATGGGTGAGTTCCCTGGCGTGAATATTGGTCTCTCTGACAGGGTGTGTGTGAGGAACTAACCTACGAGGAGATCAGAGACACCTATCCTGAGGAGTACGCACTGCGTGAACAGGACAAATACTACTACCGATATCCCACAGGCGAGGTGAGCAAGGAACGGCCCACATGCGTGTCCGTTGGTCTTTCTTTATAATGGTCACGAGCTGTTGTATGTGTTGTGTCTGGAGGTGGCTGAGAGAAGGCCTTGGGGGCCCCAGCAGGACCAGGTGAGTCCCCACAAGGCCTCTACAACCCACCCCATCTCTCACCAGTTCTGTGAGCTCATTTCTACTGTGACTTTGGTCTTAAAGCTCACTAGAGGGAACCCCATAAAAAGCCCCAAGGGAAGCGTGTTGTATTTCTCCCAAGGGACAATGAGAAGTCTGGGTATCTGTCTCTGATGGTGTGTGTGATGATGCAGGAAAGAGCAAAGAGGATGGCTGGGGATTCATTCCAGACCAAGCTTTCCCCGGGATAGCAGGAGACAAGATGGACAGGCTGGCTGTGAGGATGTCATGCTAGGTGGCTTGTGCCAGGTCCGGGCCGATGTCGGCAGAGGGAATGACTGAGCAGGCAGCTACTCTTGAGTTTTAATGAAGTGTGCTGAGCCGTGTGGTACTCTGGGCGTTGAGCCAGGTGGCTGTGTTGACACCTAGTGGGTGTCCTTCTGAGCCTTTGTCATAGTTCCCATTCCTGGTGGGCCACCATGCTGTTTTCTGATCTCTCTCTGGTCTTCACTCGCTGTAACTCTGGTTAGAAGGAGGAAAGGCACAGAAGAGTGTGTCAGTGTAAGGAAGAACTTCTGCTAGTTTTTTTCTGTCGCAGCTTTGGACAGAAGCTGCTCAGACCGACCTTGCTTGGAGTCCTGTCCCTGCCAACCCCCAGTGCTGGCATTCCAGATGCGTACCACTGTACCTGGCTCCATTTCTGTTGTTTGAAACAGTGTTCTTTAATGTGTAGTCCAGGCTGCCTTGGGCTGCTGCCAGTCCTCTTGCTTCAGCCTTCTGGGTGCTGAGGATTATATAGGTGCGTACCAACCATATCCCAAAAGGAGACTGCAGATGTGTTAGCGGTCAGTCTAGTGTCTCCTAGCTCCTAGCTCTGCTCACCACAAATTCCTCGTCTCTAGAGTCGCCTGTTCTAGGTGGTGAACAAGAGGAGCCGTTCTGTGTATGTAGATGGTGATGCTTAGTGTCTTCCACTTGACATATAAATTTTCAAGGTTTTCTCACGTTGTGGCATGTGCCAGGACTTCATTGCTTTTCATGGCTGCCTGACAAAGTCTGATCTTTCTCTAGTGCTCAGGAGGAAAGAGCTCAGACAGACAGGATTGCAGGCTTCTCTCATGTTTTTTTAGGAGTGGTAGTTCATTCCATGCAGGGCTGAAGACTTAGAAAGGTGGATGTGTGCGTGTATGGGGGATGGGCTGCGAGTGATTACAGGCTTCTTCCCTGCCTATCCTCCCCTAATGTACTATCCTATCCCTTCCTTCTCAGTCCTACCAGGACCTGGTCCAGCGCCTGGAGCCTGTGATCATGGAATTAGAGCGCCAAGAGAATGTGTTGGTCATCTGTCACCAGGCTGTCCTACGCTGCCTGCTAGCCTACTTCCTCGACAAGAGTGCAGGTATTGAGGGCAAGCCATACCCAGGAATGAAGAAAGAAGGAAATGGGCCTTGAGTGCATGTGGCAGGGGACCCATCCTCTCTGCTTTGTATCTAAATGTAGATCTGCCTCACAACCTGCTGAGGGGTCTCTACCTGCTCCCTATGGATGCTCAGTGGGCTTCATCACTTCATAAACCAGCCCGAGAACCCTCAAGCCTCCATGTGACCCAGGGCTAGGCATGAGGCTCTCACAGTGAACCTAGGGATGCCCCTGAATGTCTCCCTTCACGTCAATTCTCTTATTTAACATGACAACGTATGTCTCGTTTCAGAGGAGATGCCGTATCTGAAATGCCCCCTTCACACTGTCCTGAAACTGACACCTGTGGCGTATGGTGAGTAGCAGCCCCTACTGGGCCTTGACCCTGAGGCTCCTGGTGGCTGTGGGGCTGCCAATGAGGATGATCTCTTTAACAGAAGCTGTCTTCTTCGTCTTTCACCTTCAGGGTGCCGTGTGGAGTCCATCTACTTGAATGTGGAATCAGTGAGCACACACCGGGAGAGGTCAGAGGTGAGTTAGGCTCTGATGCGTGGGACCCTTGGGAAACCCTGGGTCTAGTTTTCTTCTGGAGGGTTCTGACTGAGTTTCTTCGGTGCCCACTGTCCAGCTACCATGTTCCATATCTCTGTTCCTAGCCTGTCTTTCCTGTGACTTCATGGGATCGGTTCCTTTTCTTTCTGTCCACATTTTCTCTCTGCCCCCGTTTCTGCTTGACTGGGAAGAGTGAGTTAAACAGGGAGTTAGTTCCTTCTCTCAAACATGACCCCAGTGCCGTAGCTGTTCCTGCCTTCTCAACAGCCCCAGGAGGCTGGCACAAACAGGATTAGCTGGTCAGCAGCACCATGTGTGTGCACTTCGTTCACAGGCCGGGCTAGAGGAGAGGAACCCTAAGGGCTGCTGAGCAGTGGTCTGCAGGAGACTCAGTGCCTGGTTGTTACTGTGTTCCACATCAGGGAGGTCTGAGATTTTTTTGGGGGGCAGGGAGGGTGTGTGTGGTCATGTTGAATCCCTTACTGGGCAGATGGCAAATCTGTCCAGGTCTGCGTTGTGAAAGTGGGTTTAAATTTGCTTTATGCAGGCTGTCAAAATACAACACTTTGCCAGTGTAGTCAGACCTTCCTCTTACACCGAACTTGACTTTCTGTCTGTGGAGTCCGAAAAACAGGTGACTTCCCCATTCCCAAGAAGCTTGGCCGTCAGACGTTGGTAGGAAGGGTCCATGGGTATCAGCCAGTTCACTGCCCAGCTTGCACTGTGGACTTCACTGGAAGAGGACTGTGTCCCTGGGCTGTCTTGCCCTGTCTCCTGGCCCCACCCCTATCAACCAAGGCACCTGGAAGATGTGCTCATTTAGCTGAATGAGGACACCCCAACACTGGGCTTAGACATGAGATGGGGTCCAAGGGCCTCGGAATACTTCCTTACTGGTGCTGGGGCTGAAGCTGTCCTGGGCTTTGAGGTGGTGGGTCATGCACTGGATCCCAGGAGCTCTCTTTCCTGTCTTGCCATCCTTTGTTGGAAGGTTAACATCTCGTCCTGCCTGACAAACTCTGCACCTTCTGTCTCCTGCTTTGCCTCCTAGATGGAGGCTGGGTACCGTTTGGGGGAGCACAGTGTATTTCATGGGTGCTTGTGTGTGCTGCAGTCCCAGGTGGAAGGCAGTTAGCCCTGATACCTTCCCCCTCCCACACCTGTGATCTCAGAGCCAACCTTCTCTCCTGGGCCTTCTGTGGGTGGGGTAGCTGGGAGTAAGGTTCTTTATTTTGACCCCCTTCTCTCCTGTAGTTGTAATTATTTTTTTCCTCCTCCGCTTTGCACATAGCGAGAAGTTCTGTGCCAGCAACGGTTCAGGGTCAAGGCCACTGTCCTGGGTGTTCCTCTGGTTGTACCCCTACAAATCTCAAGAAGTGTGTGTGTGAGTGTGTGTGTGTGTGTGTGTGTGTGTGTGTGTGTGTGGCTTTTCTACCTCTCTCCCCACTCCTTGTAACTGTCGCCTTCTTTCTTTTGTCTTTGTCTGCTTAGGATGCAAAGAAGGGACCTAACCCGCTCATGAGACGCAATAGTGTCACCCCACTAGCCAGCCCTGAGCCCACCAAAAAGCCTCGCATCAACAGCTTTGAGGAGCATGTGGCTTCCACTTCTGCTGCCCTGCCCAGCTGCCTGCCCCCGGAAGTGCCCGCGCAGCTGCCTGGACAAGTCAGTGATTCTGCTTTAATTACTGCCTACAGGGGAGACAATCCCCAGACCTGGGAACTGTGTTTGTGTTTGCGAGTGAGGATGTGTGCCTGTGTTTAGGGTGGGCTGTATGTGTGATGTGCAGTAGACTGTGCTTGTGGGTGAGTAGTGTGTGTCCATGCAGTGGGCAGAACACGAGATGCCCTCTCTAAAGATCTTTCCTGGTCAACAGTGACCCTATCCTTTCTGAGGTCATGGTCTTTGTCCTTTAATTAGCAGACTCAGGCAGAGCAAAAGAAATTGTAAAATGTTCTGCACATTTGTGAATAGTTGCCTCTAGGACAGTCTGTACTTTAGCAATGCCCAATCCAGGAGTCTGTACGTGTCTTCCTACCCTGTAGCTAATCACCTCTATGAGAGAAAAAAGTTGAGGTCCCACAGAGGAACCTATCCCTTCTCCATAACCAGCATAAACTGCCCCCCCCCCCGAAATAGTCCAAACCTGGAGAGGCAAATTGATAAAGCTCTTTGCATGCAACTGTGAAGACCCAAGTTCAGATCCCTAGAACCCATGCAAAAGCTGAGTGCAGAGGGACGTGCCTGTAAAATAACTGGCGGTGGATGGGAGGAAGCTGAGTGAGGAGGGACGTGCCTGTAAAATCACGGGTGGAGACATGAGAAGCAGAAACAGGTGGATCCGTAGAGGCTCCCAGGTCTGTTGGCCTGGCCTACACGGTGAAATTCCAGGACAGTAAGAGACTTCCTTTAAAGGAAAGGTAGAAGATTCCTGAGGACTGACATCTGAGATTGTCCTTCAATGTCCATTCACGTGATACTTGTGGTCATCGGCATCCCTGTACATAGTGCACGTATGCACAGTCTGTGTATACATAACATGCGTAGAATCAGGCAGCCAGGATAGCCACGTTTTCACACAGCAGGTAGATTATCAGAGTGAAAACAGACAGAACCCAGCAATATTCTCTATTTCGCTAGCTTGAAAGATCAAAGGCTGGAAGAGTTTAGCCATTGAGTATGAAAGATTTCAGGAAACCAGATACCCAAGAACCTTTGCAAACATGAAATATAGACCATGCCCCGATGCCTGGCTGAATTCACCTCCATGCTAGGCAAACTCTCACTGTGTCTGCTGCCTACCAGCGCTACTGTTGACCCCTGATCTTCCTTTGACTTCCTGAGGTCTGGGATGTGATATGGAGAGACCGCTGAGGCCTCCAAAGTTCATTTAACCACCCCAGGCCTCGGTTTCCTAATCTGTGGACTTGGGGAATAATACACCCTGCAAAAAGTGGCTTGGACAAGGTGATTGGTGTGGTACATGTGATTGGGGTCTGGCTGGAAGTAAGGTTTGGGTTCAGTAAGATGACAGATTTGCTGAGAGCCAGGAGACCTGGCTTGGGTTGTAGCTCTGCCACTATCGTGAATGTAAATCCCCCCTCCCCCCACTTTGGCCACAGGATCTTGGTTCAGGCGTTGTCTTTTATGTAGTCTCAAGTTGTCCTATCTCTGCCTCCCGAGTGTAGGGCTTTGTTGTTTTGTGGAGAACAGGGTCTCTCACGATGCTCAGAGATTAGCCTCAAACTCACTACGGAGTTGAGGATGACTTCAAACTCCTGATCCTCCTTCCAGCTCCCAAGTGCACTGCCGTGCCTGGCAGGTGGAAGATTTGAGTGGCCAGGCACAGTCTCTTTAGCTTTGGAGATGGGCTCAGGACTAGGTGGGAAGACTCTGCTGGATAATCCCTTTAGATCTGAGAGTTTTCTGTTAGAGCCAAGCAGAACTGAATGGCATCACCATGCCACTCTGTCCTGGTGCATTGTGGTAGTCTTTTGTTGCAGAGGCCTGAGGAGATTAACCTGGGCCTGGGACAGGGGACATCCAGAGCTACGCTGATCTGGCTAAGGAGGACGCTGGCAAGAGTCCAGTCTTATCCCCCACTTCCCAGATGCCTCTGAATTTATTAGGATAGCCCTTCAGGATAGCCAGATCCTCAGGAACAGATGTCTGGGATCTATTGGCCGGGTCAGACATGGGAGGTGTGCGGGTAGGCTCATCTCACCAGCTGCCATCTGGCCTCCTGACTGACTTTTTCTCTCTCCTTACCTTGTCTCCCTACAGCCTTTGCTAGGGAAAGCCTGTCTGTAAGTATTTCCTTCTCGATAATTCTGTCGCTTGCATTTGCTCTTGCCTGTTTGCCAGTCTGTCTCCTGCCTGTTGAGATATTTAGGCTGACGACAGTTCTGTAGACTCTGAGGCGGTCTACAGAAGAGAAAGAGATGGGAGGAGAGAATCCCCAAAGTTGATAGTGGCCAAACTAACAATGTTCAGCAAACTCCATTACCATCAGTCACGGAGTTCTACTCCCCAGTCCCTCTTGGGGTTCTAGGTTTTGTCTTTATTGGTCACAGCCTGGGGCCTATGTAATGTCAGATTTCCCTGATGGGGAAATTGGTAGAAAGTGAAACTCGTCCTTGCTGTCATTTCCTGCCTGCCCTCTCTCAGAGAAGCATCCTTTTATTCAGAAAGCAATATTTATCCGGAGCCTAATATCCAAACATGGGGACCTGCCGTGATGGCCTGGAGGTGTGCCTGCCAGTCCTACCTGGGGACAGGCTCTAGAGAGACATCCATGTAGAAACTGTACTTGATGATCCCGCTTCACTGCGTCCTCAGACCCCAGTGCGGCTGTGTCAAGCTTGAGAAAGAGGAGTGGTCCGGCACTTGGAGCTGTGCAACCACAGAACGGGAGGGCCCAGCCATTGTATCTCTGTCCTTACATAAGAGACGGACAGGGCAGTCCTCTTCCTGTTTAACAGTACGGTCAAGTGACCTGCTTACACACCCACCAACTGGTAGGCAATAGAGGCAGGCCTCAAAGAGACCTTGTGTCCCAGAAAGCTAGCTTCTTGCAAAGGCCTAGGTATGGTTTTTCTTTCTCTGATTCTTCTGTTTTTGTTTGTTTGTTTGTTTGTTTTTTCAGGACAGGGTTTCTCTGAGTAGCTTTGGAGCCTGTCCTTGAACTCACTCTGTAGATCAGGCTGGTCTTGAACTCACAGAGATCACCTGTCTCTGCCTCCCGAGTGCTGGCATTAAAGGCGTGCGCCTCCGCTGCCCAACATCTCTCTGGTTCTTGAAACCTGAAGGGTACTTTGAGTAGCCGCTGGCTACTCCCACAGCTTCTCTTGCAGCCACTTCCCAACGGAGGGGATTGGCCTGGCTGTCACTTTCCCTCTCAGAAAGCAACAATGTCTATCACCTACCATCCAGTGTCTATAGTTTGAGGACCAAGGGTTCTCCTTGCAGAATCTTTGGGTTGGAACTTGTGACTCAGCTTGTCCACTCCAAGATGAATCCCTTAGTTAAGCAAAAATGTCTCCTCCTAAAGACTCATCACCCCAGGTAGGGTCAGATTCTATTCCTGAGACCCAGAATCTAGTCCAGCCTGATACTGTGACCAAAATTAATCAACTATTCTTTTACTGAGATAAGACAACTATAACGATACTCTCTAGCCTGGAACTTACTGTGTCCCCAAGGCCTTAAACTCAAAGCAATCCTCCTGTCTCACCCTCTGAGTGTTTGAATTGCAGCTATGCATGGACCAACTTACCTGACTTTCAGCATTTATTTTAAAAGCCAGACTAAACCAACTTTGCCACAGCCTTTGGAACATTAGGGAAGTTAAACCAGTCTTAAGACTTGAACTTCCTTATCTGTAAATGGGGATTGCAACCCTGTAGGGACCTTTGATGGTAAAAATATGCATACAGCTCACGGCAAAAATTTGGCACCTAGGAGGGTCCTGATGGGTGATGGGAAACTACTCTATGTAGAGTGCTTCAGGCCAGCCTGGGCTAAATGAGACCTTATCTCAAACCCAAACAGAAAATACTAAAATTGGTTTTGTTTTCTCCTTTTCCAACCTTCCAACCTGTTTTTTTTCTTTCTTTTTTCCCCCCACTGTGCTTGAAAGACGAAGTGTCTGTCACATTTTTTCAAAGTTTTCTCCTTACTAACCTGGGAAAGGTAATGGAGCTGTGCATGTCCCTCTGTTTCCTCCTGCATCTGGGTCATGGCTTTTAGCCGAAGGGGACTGTGGTCTGTGCACAGATTGGCCATTGTGGAGTCCTGTGGCTCATGTGTCAGTGCTGGGTGGTCTTTCAAGCAGCACCATTGATGTGGGGTCCTTCCATCTCTGCCTCTGTGTGTTCTGAGCCAGGGGTCCCTGGGGGAGTGATGTGGACACGGCTCACCATGTGGCTTCTTGTTACTGTCACATTGTTATCATGTGTGAATGCTAGAGGCCCCGGACTGGAGGTATGGCAGGAGACGTGGTAACCCCCTCCCCTCTTAGATCCCACTACATGGCCAGGGCACTTCCTACACACGTGGTCCAGGGCCCTGCCAGAAGGAACCCTGTTTCACACAAGGCACTGCTGCCTGGATCTCAAGTCTCACTCAGATGAGTGGCGACCCTAGGGCAGACCAGAACTAAGTGTCCCTTCTCTCGACATCTGCAACTAGGCTCCTTCATTCTGTGGCTGAGAGTGGTTCTTGCATTCCTGCCTACCTGAAATCCACCACTCTGTGATCCTGCCCCTGGAGTTTGGGGGGCCCAGACGGAATACTTTTATTGGACATTTCTTTTTTGAAGGCTTAGATCTGGGGGTTTTAGGGAGAGATGCTTACCGGCCAGTGGTAGTAGTCAAGGCAAGGGACTGAAGAACATTTTAAAAGGGAACTTGATACCAGCTAATGTTTTATGAGACTTCTTGCTAGGGGTACACGGGTCAAGACCCAGTAGACTTTAGTGATACAGCCCCCGCTGGGCCTCCATTGTACGGCCAGCCATTGTCTCTTGTATTCTGTGGGGCTTTGTGCCCAGACTTGGGACACCCCTCCCCCTTGTAGCTGAGTGCAAGGTTCTGTTTACTGATCCCAGAGAGCAGCTCTGCTGTTCCAGACAGTCCCCACTGATTTTGCCCTGGCTGTGACCAATGAGAGAGGGCTGTGTGGCAAGGAGAGTGGCCCTCAGTTCCTAAAGCGAAGGGTGCGTGACGTTCCTATCTGTGCCTCATGGTCACTTGTCCTCTCTAAGCAGCCTTGACTGAGGCCTGTGGCAGCAGGCTCCCGAGTAACATGCCTGTCCTTCTCCATGCCCTGCTGGCTGGAATCTAGAGCCCAGTGTTAAGCAGAGTCCTGGCCTGTGTCTCTAGCTTCTTTCTGCAACCTCTAGGGTATTTTCTGTTATGTTCTGAGACCTACTTGGGCTCTTCTACATGTTTGTGGTTATCCTCTGCCAGGGGTGTGTTCTTTCGGAGGATGGAGGGCGGTGGTGTCTTGTGGCATGGCTTTGAGCCTTTTGCTTGTGGCACAGTGAGCACCAGGTCCTGACCCTCCCTTCCTCTCTCTCCTGGTAACAGAACATGAAGAGCCCCCGGAGCAGCATTGACTCTTCCCAGAAGCATTGAAGCTGAAACATGGGTTCCGTTCCATTTCTACAGCCTGCCTTGTGCCCACTCATCTACCTGAGGCCAAGCGATCCCAAGGACTTCCGGACTGGGGGACAATGGAGGTCTGTCTGCTGGGTGAAGAGTAGCAACACTGCCTGAGATGTTGGGGTAGCAAAGACAACTAGGAAGTTGGACAGATCCCAGCTTCCCCATGGCAAAGCTGCAGCCCTCCCCACCCTCTGTTCTCCTGGGACTTCCAGGGTGTCTGATCTCACAGACCCGACTGAAGCATGGGGAGGACTATAGTTCTAGAGGAGGTGAGGTCAGGCCTCTCAGTGGATGTTCACCATGCTGTTCTGGTTTGTTTCTTTGGATGCTGGCCTGGCATGTTGATAGCCGAGAGACAAGACTGGCAGAGAATCCTGAAGTTCAGAGTGAGTTAGACCCCAGATGCTAGAGGCTCAGGGATGGTCAAACACTCGCCTGGCTTTTATGCATCTTGGCCTGGGAAGAGACCTCAAAGATAAGGGACTTGGACAAATGCTGCACTGGATGTGGCCGTTCTCCTGAGGCTCACTGGTCAGCTGGGCAGTGACGTGCCCTGGTTCTTCCACACGTCCACATGCCTTCTAGGTCTCGACTTAAGGGACACACTGGTTGCATCGGTGTGGAAGGAAGCATTTTGCTGAAAAAAGAACCAGGACCCCCTCTTCCCTGGGGCTCTTAGGCTTTCTGTTCTCCAGCCTTGGCCTGGAGGCATCTGAGCAAATCCTGTGGCTGGCTGTTTGCTGTTTTGCACTTTCTTTCCTTTCTTCTCCCTCCCTCCCTCCCTCCCTCCCTCCCTCCCTCCCTCCCTCCCTCTCTCCCTTCTTCCCTCTCTCTTTTCCTCTCTCCTTCCTTCCCTTCCTCCCTTCTTCTCTCTCTTTCTTTCCCTTCCTTCCTCCTTCCCTCCCTTCATTTTTCTTTTTCTTTTTGGACAGAAGTGTGACCGGAAAGTCCCACTTCACTTCAGGAACCGAGATGGCAGGGTGTTGGCCCTTGGAGGCTTGGAGCAGCTGAATGGGAGGGATCGGAGTGTCTGTGAGATGGGAAAGCTCAGAGTCTTCAGCTTTGCTCATGGTTTCCAAGAGGAATGGTGGCCTAAGTAAGGCTTGTTCCAAGCCACTTGTTCCTAGAGCTGTCTCCGTGTTTTGGTCTAGTGTCTGTTGTATGCCTGATACAACCCTGCGAGGCATCTCAAGGAGTTCCCAAGAATAGAAAATTGTCCTTGTCGTCTTCCTGATGTCTGTGACGTTTTTTGCGTGGGTTGAAAGCAGTGCTGATGTAACTACCTATTGTTTCTGTCTGCCTGTTTGGAAACTCAGTGGGTTTTGCCCAAATGAGCCTTTTATAAGGATGCCCCACAGCTGGTGCTGAAGGTCACTTTCCTTCCCACCTTCTGCCTGTGAGTCTTGGGAGCCTATCCTCCTCAGGTACAGGTCCTGAGGTGACACAAAGACGTGCTTTGGATGCTCCAAAGCCATTTCGTGCTTCTCACAGCTAACCACTCAAGTTCTCAGTGCAGCCCACTACCCTTTAAATCTGTGGTCACCAGAGAGGACTATGTACATAAGACGTGAACTGTTTCCTCTCAGTGACTTGGGTCTTGACAAGGATATCTGTAGTGCAGATTTGTGCACAGGCAGGTAATACTTTGGCCTGGGGTCCTGCAGCGTTGCATTTGGCAGGTGGACAGGATCTTAGCTGTGTAACCCAAACTAGCCTCAAGCTTCTAGCAGTCCTCCTGTCTCAGGCTCCCAAATCCAGTATTGGAGTCATAAGCATGAATCACCATGTCTGGTAGTGCGACTTTGCACTTGGAGGTAATTCCTTAGGTGTCCCCTTCTGAGCACATCTCTCTAGTTACAGAACTAACTCTTACAACATAGAGACTCTCGAGGCTGGGACAGGTAGGGGTGGTCACCCATGACTAACGTAAGTCAGTACATCAAGCGAAAGCTTTGCCCGGTGTATTTTCACTTTCTGTGAAGGGGTGGATAAGATTGGGCTCAGGAGATCTTGAAGGGGGTGGAACACAGTTTGATTTAAAACGCAGTGACTGGATGGACGGGGTGGCGTCACTCACCGAACTTCCACACTTCCACCCAAAGCAACAAAATAAAATGGGGACCAATGTTTTTTAACTTTGCGCATTTGTTTTGGGGATAAATTTCTCCCGTTCCCTTCAACCATGGGCAATACCCTTCATTTATGAGAAGAAAAACTGTTGGAACCACGCCAATGATATTTTCATTTGTAATACTTGAAATTTATTTTTTTATTATTTTGATAGCAGATGTGCTATTTATTTATTTAATATGTATAAGGGAGCCTAAAAATAGAAAGCTGCATAGATTGGGTTTAATTGTTCATTGGTTTGGGGCCTTTCAGTGTGTGATCAGTGACTTCTTCATGTTCTGTGTGTATTTGTCTCTCCATGACCTGGGAAGAAGCTATGCAAGCTTTTAAGCAGGATACGCCTTTCAGAAAAATTTGTATATTTTGCAGTTGCTAGAATAATAAAAACCGGGTTGAGATATGCCAACAAAACTCACTTCTGGGCCTTTTGCAGGCACAAGTGTCAGTTTTCCTTCTAAGCAGCGTGTGTGTGTGTGTGTGTGTGTGTGTGTGTGTGCACACATATGCACGCATGTAAAGGTCAAAGGAAAGCTTGACAGAAGTCGGTCTCTTCCAGCCTCCAGAGACTGAACCCGGGTGGTCGGCTTGTCAGTGCCTTTACTTGATGAGTCGGCCATCCTGGCCGGCCACAAAGTGTCTTCATGGCCATTGTACCTGCCAGCTCCTTGCAGAACCACTGATTATTTTCCTTTAAACAGGACACAACAGATTGTCAAGTTTGTACATTTGGGAAATAAATAAAATGTGTTAATTTTAAATTAATAGACTTCTGCTGTTGGTTTATTTTTCCTTTTTTTTTTTTTTTTTTTTTTTTTTTTTTTTTTTTTTTTTTTTTTTTTTTTTTTTTTTTTTTTCTGCACGGAGTAATGTAATATACATAGCCCAGGCTGGCATCACACTTCTGGTCTTCCTATCTTGGTCTTCTGAGTGTTGGGATGATAGGCAGACAGTACCACACCTAGCATAGACTCAATTTAAAAAAAAAAATCTTATGTTTCCGTGTGTGTGCAGGTGTGAGTGCCCACCTGGAGAGGTCAGCTGACAACTTCAGGTGCTGATACTTGCCTTCCACCTCGCTTGAGACAAAAGTCTCTTGCTGCCGAGTATGCTAAGCTAGCTAGCCCACAACCCTAGGATTCCCATCCCCTCACCCCCATCTCACTATAGGAGCACTGAGACTCAGCTTTAGGTGGGGTCTGGGAATGTGATGTGTACCAGGTTGGTACAGGAGTGCAGCTAGCACTTTCCTCACTGAGCTGACTCAGTCCCTCTAGAATTTAGAGGTTGAGTTTAGGGATTCATGAGGGCTAGGTCAGAGCTGGACCACTGATGCTTCCCACCAAGCTTGATGGCCTGTATGGTGAAAGAAACTCAGCTCCTATCAAGTAATCCTCTGGCTCCCACATATGCTGTGTCAGTGTGCCTGTGCCCCTCTTCCCCCAAATAAATCATTTTTCAAACTTCAGCAACTTTTTTTGTCCTTACTGATAGTCAAAAGTTAAGAGCTTGGTAAGTTTTGTTTTTCTCCCAAGAGTCAAGCTCTTTACAGATTGAGGAAAGTTTAAGACAGAATGAGAATGAGCATCCACTTTGAACCGTACACATCGCAGAAGTTGCCCTGATGTCTAAATCCTTCCACTTTTCTAACCCTAGCAAAGAGAGCAGCCTTGGGGCATCTTCATGCTGAAGTGACTCCTGGGGTTGTCTGGAAGCTGCAATGGGACAGACCACTGTAGACTTCCGTGCTCTCTGACTCCCAAGCAGCTGGGTTGGATCTAGGGAATGGAGAGAGCTTTGCAATTTGGTCCCATCTTTTAGGTCATCTTCTGAGAGAATGAAAAGATTGCTAAGGCTGTGGATAGAGCACCGCTTTGCTTCTGCAAAGCCCTAAGTTTTATCTCTAGCATGCTTCTTTCCCTGATTAAATGCAGCTTAACATAAATTTTAAAAATGCTAAGTGTGATGGAGTATACCTGTAATCACAGCACTTGAGAGTCTGAGGCAGGAGGACCATGAATTTGAGGCTGACCTGGACTATATAGTGAGAGTCTGACAAAAGTAAAAATGAATAAACAATACCCCCCCTACCAGAGGTATGGATAAAGAAAATATAGCTTTATAGACACTGGAATTTTTTTTTAGCCATAAAGACCAAAGAAATAGAAAGCAAACCAGGCTACAATGCACCATGGCAGGGTGTTGCACAGGTCAGAGCTCGAGGGAACTGGTCACATTGTATCTGCAGCCAAGAGGGAGAGTCAGATGCTTACTCGGTTTACTTTCTCCACTCTATTTAATCTAGGATCCCTTGCCCAGGCAATGGTTCCTCTCACAATTAAAATGGATCTTCCTACATAACCAAGATAGCCCCTAGCAGTCATGTCCAAAGGATCATCTACCAAGTGAGTCTAGAGTCCTTCACTTTGACAACTCTAATCGTCACACTGTCCAAGGAAACAAAGGGAACTAGTGCGAAGGTGAGAGCTTTAAAATGAGAGGGTAAGGGGAGAAATGTGCTCAAAGTATATTATACATTTAGATGAAAATGCCCTGAATACATGCCAATTAAAATATTAAAGAACAAGCAATAGTCTGATATGATTTTTATTTATTTAATTTTTTTAAAAGTAATTTTATTTATCAATAGCTACATCAACCTGTCACTCCCAGATCTAAAGCCCAAAACAGGTCCATAAAAAGCAATTTCAGAAGCACTAGTAGGCAGGAAAAGAAAGTCAAAGAAAACAATGCTCATAGGCAAGAAAATGCTCATGTCCAGACCTATAGCCAGCCCTTGGGAAGTGGAGACAAGAAGCTCAACATCATTCTATGCTAGCTATGTACTGAGTTGACAGCTAGCCTGGGCTACAGTCAACCTTTGAGGGGTGTTAAAAGAATTAAAACCACAACCCCCAGCCCAGAGGAGGCAGAAGTCACTGAGGTGGGACCCTGTGGGGTGTGGCACTGTGGGGTCTCCCGGAGGTCCCCTAGAGACTCAGAGACTTCCTGCTTTGTCATCTTTAATGTCATTTCTGTCCCTGTCTTGGCATCCAGGAGTTTACGGATGGACCCCTCCGCTCCCATAAGCCCCCAGTTTCTAGAAAGCCTCCAGCATTTTGGCGCGTTCAGTGAAGCCGGGAGGCGGCAAGGGGGTTTGGAGTGGCTCTGGGGGATGACAAACTCTCTGGATGGCAGAAGCAGCAAGTGTGCTCACAGCAGGTTGAGGACTCCGAGGAATTGATGGGAATGAGCTTGAACCGCCAATGTGGTGTCCCGCAGCAGCTGGCTTTGAGGGAAGCAACGGAAGAAAGGTTATGGCGGCCGGACTCCTGTAACCAAACAAAGTGAGGACGCATCTCCTGCTTCAAGGAACGCTGGATGAACCAAGTCTTAACTTGTTCCTCCTTCAGGTTGAGTCTGGTGGCCAGGACCCTTCGAGGTCTGGGTATGGCTCCATCTTGAAGTGTTTTTCCAGTTTCTGTAGCCGTTCCCAACTGCACTCCTGGTCAAGGGTACCCAGCATATAGGGGTGCAGGGAATGCAGAGATGCTCCCATCTTTTCTGCAGCTCACTTTAGATGTCACTACCCTGCCCGCCAACCCTTCTGCTGAGATGATTTTTAAAACCCCACAAACACACATTAATGTGTGTCATATGATATTCTGATCTAGTCAATGCTCCCCACTACCTTAAATAGTTGACCAAGTTTTCCAGTGATTTGTTAAACGAGTCCAGGTAAAGGTGGTCTCAGGTGTGCTCAGTGAAGAAAAAGGGAGGTGGAAAGCCCAAGGAGACAGTAATCTTGCCTGAGGTTTCTCCTGAGCTTGGGGCAGGAAGCCATCTAGACTCACTCATTTCCCTGCAATGAACATTTCTAGGCAGCCCCATGTTTACTCCATGGGCTTACTCCATCTGACCACCGAAGCCTTCCCATCTTATTCTGTCAGCCAAAGCTACGAGTTGTGGACACGAGTTTCTGCCCTGGGTGTGTGGGGGGGGTGAGAGTATTCATTGTTCATTTGCCCTGGTGATTGATGTGTGCCTTGTCCTTTGAACAAAGTGCTTTACCCCATAGCTAATGGGGCCTTGCTTGGGGACAGCCCTGACTATGCCAGTCCCCACTGATCAGCCTTTTTGACCTCTCTACTGGGATCCCAGCCAAAATGGATTATGTCTGAGTGGTTAGATGCCACAACTCATTGGGTTGAGTTCAGTTGTTTTTAATCAGAGTTGCACTGCACAGTTGCCAGGCAAGATCTCACCCTGGGAGATTTATGTATGCATTTATTTATGTGTATGAGTTTGTGTGGTGTAACGCACATGTGCACAGAGGTCAGAGGGTCACATTAGGTGTCCTGCTGTATCGCTCTGCCTTAATTTCCTTGAGCCAGGGTCTCTCATTGAATCTGGAGATAGGGTAGCAGCCACCAAGCTCCAGTGAGCCTCCTGTCTTTGCCCTGTACAGTGTTGAGATTACAGGGCGCATGTGGCGTGCTCTGCTTTTTTATGTGAGACCAGGAATTTAAATTCAGATATTCAGGCTTGTGTAGCAATCACCCTTACCCACTGAGCCACCTCCCCAGTCTCTGTTGAGAGTTATAATGTGAAGAGCCAAGGCATTCTGTGTTGTAGGAGGACTTGCGGTGTCCTGTGTGATTTTGAGAGAGACTGGTAGACAATCACCGGTCCAGAATGAGCATTATACGTAAGGTAAGAGCAGAATATATAGAGCGGAGCTCGGCGCGCGCCCGGTCCAAGCGAGCGCGCCCCTGCTTCTAAGTGGTAGGGACTCTTGTTCTTTCCACTAGGCCTCCAGCCCTTTTCTACCCCGCATCTTGCTCGCTCACCACTCCCCAGTTCCCGGTCCCCACCAGGTCACCTGCCAGCCCCGGACCCCAGTTCTGCGTCCCCAGACTGCCTGCTCCAAGGCCAGTACAAGCTCCACAGGCCAGGCGCCGCCATGGGGGTGGAGGGTTGCACCAAATTCATAAAAAAAAAGAGTGGATTATATTCACCTCCATGAAGCATTTAGAGTGATTCATAGAACATTGGTTCATATAACAATGCTGATGGCCAAGAGCTGGGGGTAGGGAACTATGGCAGTGGAGTTAAATTTCTACTGTAGAAGATAGAAAGTTCTAGAGAGCTGCTATATAAGATGTCTCTGAAGGCAATGGTTGGTACAGTATTGTGTACTTTATTTTTTTATTGATTTGATTGAGTTCTACATTTTTCTCTGCTCCCCTCCCTGCCTTTCCCCTCCCCTTCAACTCTTTCCCATGGTCCCCATGCTCCCAATTTACTCAGGAGATCTTGTCTTTTTCTACTTACCATGTATGTATGTACGTCTCTCTTAGGGTCCTCATTGTTGTCTAGGTTCTCTGGGATTGTGATTTGTGGGCTGGTTTTCTTTGCTTTCTGTTTAAAAACCACTTATGAGTGGTTACATATGATAATTGTCTTTCTGGGTCTGGGTTACCTCACTCAATATGATGTTTTCTAGCTCCACCTATTTGCCTACAAATTCCAGTACTTTATTTTTTAACTATATTTGTTTACTTTATGTAGTATGTATATGTGCCTGAGTGTATGTCTGAGAAACTGAGAAGAAACTGAGAAGGTCAGAAGAGGTTTTAGATCCCCAGGAACTGGAACTGGGGTTGGAGTTGGTTGTGGATGTTGGGTATTGAACCTGGTACCTCTGGAAGAGCAGTCTTAACTGCTGAGACATCTCTCCAGTCCCATACCGTGCACTTTAAAAT